ATAACATTACAATATACACAATGCTAAGGCATAACACTGAGAATGATCTGTGCTACGGGAAGTTATATCAAAAACTCCGATCTGTTTTATTTGCTGAAATTCATTTGCGGGTTCTTCTTTTGACCTTATTACAGTCATAAAAATTCTCAAGACAATTTGCAGATCTATGCAGTTTTCTTATTTTTTTGGGAGTCGTCCATGTGGATATTTAACAAAAACTGGTACAAGAAATTATTTCCTTTGTTACAGAAACTCCAGCAAACATCATAGTTAAAGAAAAGGGAAAGCGATCGAGACAGGAAATTGGTGAGGATGAAAAAATGTCGAAAATTTTATTTACTTTTTTTAAATACAAACATGCTAAATCTGCTGTTGTCTGTTCTATGGTCGGGTTGTTGTCTCTTTGACACATTCCCCATTTCCATTCTCAATTTTATTATTAGAAATAAGATTTTAAAAAAGACGTGTATACGCGATCCCAATATTATAACCAGTTATTTAAATATGTATAGAATCATTCTGTCAACGCTGTGTTAACCGGGACAATTTCAAACTCGATATTTGGTTCATAGAAATAAGGAAAATGCAAGCATTTCAAAAAGATGGGGAACCCTGTCTAATTAAGAAAAGTGTTGAAGTTTTTACAGTTATTTTCTTTCACTTGCATTATACTTTTTTTGCCAATTAGCTTATTTTTTGGCAGCAGAAATATCCTAAAAAATTCTTCAGTTTATTTCCTTAAAAATTGATTACGCTTTAAAAAATTGCAAAAATTAGAAAAATTGGTTATTTACACTCACGATTTTGTTAAGACACTGTACGGTATAAAAGCGTTCTAGAGTAGAAGATGTGGTGACGTTACAGTAGACATCAATAAGTCGCCGAATATTTTTATTTTTTCCGCTAAAAATCAAACTTCCACAGGATACAGATTGAAAACTAGCACGGTTGCTAAGGACTTTCTTTGCACCAATGGATTCGTCGTTCATTTTAGAATCGTATATCGATTTTTTTTTTAAATTCTGTGGACCAACGAATTAGAAAATCTTGTTAAAGTAAAAATATCTGCCGATTTTTATGATTTTCCCTATATATCCTTTTTATTTTTGGCGTATCATGCTGTTAATTTCAAAAGCTTTCATCTAGAAAACAAAAACGATTTTTTATTTTATTTTCTTGTGTGTTTTTACAAGCAGAATCCATATGTAAATTTTTTAAAAAAATCTGTGGATTGGTTAATTACGTACACTTCGCTTAAGTGAAGGATTTTGGTTACCTCAAGTGACTAAAAGCATTTACTGGTCAGGATTTTTTCATATATACAAAGATTTGGATTGGAAGTTTGGCTGTACTTATAGACAACTTATTACAAACGGGATAGCGCATTCTAAATTTTACGATTATTTGTTTACCGAGCCAGTAAATTTAGATACGATACGAGTAAACTTATCGATCCTTTAAATTAACTTGTTTTAAAAGGTTAAGTTACCGATACAACACTGTAATTAGATCTTTGAATATAGTTTTATTTTGTATAAATATTGATTTAGATAAACATCAAACAACAAATTATTGCTATACACATATGTACACTCACGGTCTTACAATCTGTCGATACCTATTGTGACGGGTACAGATTTGTTGTTAATTGTATTTAACTATAACTATGTTTTCCTAATCTAAAAAGTTATATTTGTATGCCATTCATTCCTAAATTTCACTGAGATAAAGATGGAATCAGTGCATGCCTGTTCATGATTATTTTTATGATTTTTATTCAACATCATATGACTGAAATAAAGGCAACAGTAGTATACTTCTATTCGAAATTCATAAATTGATTGAGAAAAAAACAAATCCGGGTTACAAACTTAAACTGAGGGAAACACATGAAATGTAAGAGGAGAACAACGACACAACAGAAACTCAGCACTAAAATGCAACACACACAGAAACGAATTATAATATAACAATGGCCATTTTCTTGACTTGGTACAGGACATTTTAAGAAAAAATGATGAATTGAACCTGGTTTTGTGGCTAGCCAAACCTCCCGCTTTTATGGCAATGTTAAATATAACATTAAAATGACAAGATTACATGACAGGACTACAATACAAATCAATGGGAGAACATACAGGACAGAGACACACACAAATAATAGCTATCAAAAGGTACCAGGCTTATAATTTAATACGTCAGACGCGCGTTTTGTCTACATAAGACCCATCAGTGACGCTCAGATCCAAAAAGTTCGAAAGCCAAAACAAGTACAAAGTTGAAGAGCATTGAGGACCAAAAGTTTCAAAAAGTTGTGCCAAATACGGCTAAGGTTATATGCCTGGGATAAGAAAATCCTTAGGATTTAGAATAATTCATACTTTTGCAAACAGTAAAATAAAAATGACTACATAATAGATATACATGTTAACACCGATGTGTTGACTAACTATAGAATAAAAACGAATACATAAAACAACCTAAATCAGCACATAAAAAAGGCACAGCCGAACAACGTATTATATGTTAACCGAAGAAATCGACGCACAATGTGACGTCACATTTAAATTTCTATAAATTTCCAAAAAATAGGATAGAGTTTAAGATTAGGTTTGTAATACACATATAACATGTATTATAACAATGAAAATAACAATACTTATTATTATAAAATTGTTGTAGTAATTAGATAATTAGTTGTATTATCAAGCTATGTCGGTATTTCTTCTAAATCAAACTGTATACCAAATACGTATACATTTAGTTGACCCAAATTAAAATCTTATCAATGAACTGGGTGATTAATTATCATTATACATGTGGTGTACCATAATACCAGTCATTTTTTATTGTGTTGTAGCATTTACTTTGGGAAATATTGAAATTGCAATTGTTATTTGCTGTTATGAGACGACCCCCGTAATTATTACTTTCATTGAACGAGTGATGTTTTTCACTCGTATGTACATTTTTTACGAACTTACTTATTTGTAAAGCTTCCTCAAGTCATATTGGTATAGGGAGTTACAAGTTTTAGGTCAGAACATTTTGTTCGACTACATATTTGTCGATGAATTCGTTGACTGGCAAGCACCTTGCATAGTTCAGCGCCATATTCATAACGGTACTAAAGCGTTTTGATTGGTCGAACATTTACGGAAGGTCACGATTATTTTTAGCTTATCGTAAATAATTTTGATTATTATATTCTACATAACGGAACGAACATTTCAACAAATATGAAGTTATTTAAGCGTCACTTTGTACAATTATTTTATAAAAATAAACATTTCATAGCGGCCAAAGAGGGACAAATCGTTAATGATTTCCATTGGTTTATTGGATAAACTTGCAATTGCGCGGTTGAAAATTGACACTGATTTTAAGTACAATTATTAAAACCCCAAAACGCGAGTTTGACGTCATTCTGGCCAAAGACGTTCAAAACTAGGAACATTTAAAGAATACATAATTGTTTAAAAACGATTTACGCAAATTCTACCCACATTTTGAAGACACTTGAGGTAACTAGCAATATTATGAAAATACTATTTTTTTATAATGATGGTTTACATCTATCTAGAAAAACATAAACCATAGAGATTACGTTACAAATATTTTTCCTGTTTAGAAATTAAGTACATTGTTAATACTTTTTGACGAATCACTGTGCCGAGGCCGATTATTTGTTTTCATGTAATTGAACAATTTAAAGCCAATGTAACCCCAATAATCAAACTAAATTTAGAAATATATTTTATTTATGTCACTGGTAAAGGAATCCAGTAAATTTAAAGCAAAGGCTTTTTACAAAAATTGAGCGTTTTAAGTGGGGTTTTCAGACAGTGAGACACATGAAAATGCACATTACTAGCGAAGGAAACTAGTACAAATTTCCATAGATTCTTGTTAAAAAAAACACAACTTTATTAGTCAATCAATTGGAATTAGAGCAACATATACAAGTAATTGTTAGTCAAAGATATAATACTTGTTAGTAAGATATTAAACATTTGATAGTTTTGAAAAAAGGAACATTTGTTAGTAAACAATAATGAACAGATAATTAATTCTTGCCAACTTTTGTCAATTTCTTTTGGTCAAGAGACAATCGTTTTTAGTCAAAGGAAGCTTAAACACAGGTTCAACAAAGGATTGTATATAGAATTTTACTTGATATTATTATCTTTACTGAATTTCACATTTTATTGTATAGGTCAAGTTTGGCAAATGATGAGACATACGATTTTAGTCAGAGGAAACTAATACAAAGTCTCTACTTAAACTTATATCAAAGCTTTCACTGAATCATTGAACTACCAGTTAACGAAATATTGTAATAATCAAGTTTGGACAATTTTAGACACTAGTTGTTAGCCAGTGGAAGCTATTACACTGTCTTAACAAAATTTTCCCCTTCATTTCATAGAACATCATAATTTATTAAATTAAGTCTCACTATACTTAATGTGAGGTAAGAGGCATTTTAATACATGAATATCTAATATTTTGTCCCGTGAGGTCCGATGTACTTTTGATAAATGAGTATCTAATATTTTGTCCCATATCTGCTCGTATTCTCAACAAACGAGAAAACATCATAGCAGATATTGTTTTACTCTTCATGAGTATTTATGTAGTACTTGAATCAATCTCTTAAAAGATACCCTAGGCAACTGTCTAGAAATTCACTAAAAGTGTACTTAGTATTGATAAATTTGCAAGTTCTTTTTATTGGTCTTGAGCTTGACTACATTGTGTAATTTTGATCTCAAATATTTGCTGCTGTTATGTGTGGTTATAATATATATAATATCAAAATAAAGTATTTGCAACTTCTGAATTGTTTTGTATATATTTGTGATATCAGTCTCAAGAAGACCCTTAACATTCACTATAAATAATTGAATAGGAGTTTAGGCTTCATCCTAAGACACATACGAATCACTTCTCGAAAAATAGGTCTTTTTGTCCTTCGTTTTAGATCTAGATAGGGAGTAAGGTAGTTTAGGTTTTCGTTTGGGTTTATATATTTAGAGGTTTCGGTGTATTTGTGTTTCTGCCCTTTTCTCCATTGACACGCTACACTATATTTAGGCATTGCACGAGGTCGTGTTTTTTCTTTGACTGTAAATGACGTCTTAATACCATATACATTAGAAGTTGGATGTTAACTGATTGATATTTTAGTATTAGAAACATAATTTTTCATTAGTTGATATGGGCTTGGAACTAGTTTCAATGACTTTAAGTATTTGCAGGTTTGTATTATGTATTTTGTGTTTTTGTTTTTTTTTTTTTTTTTTTTGTTCTTTGCATCGATCTGATGACTTTAAGTCCTTTTTAACTGATTTTTATAGTTTGTTGTTATTTCGTGTTGTTACACCACTGCTCCCGGTTAGAGGAATGCTTTGGAGCCAACAAATATGTGTTTAACCCCGCAACATTCTGTATGTCCCTGTCCCAAGCCAGGACCCTGTAATTCTTTGTTTGTCGTTTGTTGCCATATATCATATTTGTTTTTCTTGCATTGTTTTGTACATACATGAGGCAATTCGTTTTGTCGTTTAAATCTTTATTCCTTTGACATTTCAGGGCCTATTATAGCTTATTATGCGGTATTGGTTTTTTCTCATTGTTGAAGGCCGTACGGAGACTCGTAGTTGTTAACTTCTACAGATGGGTGCAGTCCTAACCTTTTCAAAAGATAACTTAGAGCAGTCCTTATGACTTAAGGTAAGTCATTTGAATACCACCGCGCATGTAACTTGCGAAACTACGATCCGCAAGTTAGTCTAAGATGTTGAATATTATTTGTGGATTTATTTAAGGAAATATGTTTTTTTTATCAAAGAAACGATTTATTTGTTTTAAGAATGATCAAAAATTTTATCATTAATATATAAAGACCTATTTCCAACGCTTTTCATGTTTACGACTTTCTAACGGAAACCCGCAGCGTCGATAAAAACGCAGTTCCGTAAAATGTATTTTTGAAATGTACAAAGCGTCAAAGGGCAAATTTTCAACCAAAAAACCTATAACTTAGTCTGATTCATTCCGAAAAGACCGCATCAGAAAAATAAGACTAAATCAAAATTAGAAAAGAACATGATTTTTGTTTGACTTTATAAATGTATCAAATACCAGAGGTGATGAAAACGTTATTTATGACACTACTGATATCTCATACCTCTTAACTATTGTAGATTATTCATCTTTGAAATTAATCTTATTATCCAAGGCCTTGAGTCATGTCTAAATCGTTTAACCCTCTCAGTCCCAAATAACTTTCATTATGAAATGAAAAACCCTAATTTTTTCGAGGTAAAATGCATATTTTCTGTACATTTTGAATACACATTCCTGACCTAGTATGCCTTTATTGATGTATTTGACTTTGTAAACACAAATGATTACTTAGTTGACATTACAAAAACATTGTTATTTTATTTTAAAAATGTACCGTTACTGCATTTGACGTCATCAAAAAGAGTGTTATTAGTGACGTTGATGTGTGAAACGTCGAAATAAACTAACTTGCAGGTACTTGAAAATACCCTAAGTGTTATACATTCAACGGCTTGTAAAACGATTATAGTTTTATCGATTTGCATAGTGTAAAATGTTATTGACTGCAAAAATTCTTTTTCCATACTATCAAAGTCTGATTTCCTGAAATATATTTGATATTTGCTGAAATATATTTAACTTAATGAAGGTTTTATTATAGAAACAAAATACTTAAAAAAAAAAAGATATCTACTCTTTTGTAGTAAAAACTCAGAAGTAAAGTGTCGAAGTCTTGAATAGTATCGTATTCTACAATTATATATTTTCATTAATTGAACGTCGTATCAAAATCATTACACAAGCAACTAAACAATATGCCATGAATTAATAGATTGGCTGCACAATAATTCTTTCCTTTTTTTTTATCATTTTTGTGATGTATCATGTAATATGTTCACGTTCACGTATGCCATCAATCCCATATAAGTATTATTATTTTCAGTAAAGTTCAATTATTCTTACTTTGCCATTATTTGACATTTCATCCGTCTTGTCAGTCGACAGCGAGGAGAACATTTTCAGAACGCAGGTCGTCAGCGTAAAAAAATTAGGTCTTAGCAAACGGTACGTTTACCAAGGCGAGAAAAAAGAAAAAACATTTACTAAAAAAATACACAAAGCTCGACATAGGATTATGCATGTGATAGGTGATACTTTAAATACTCTGTAAGGATGTACACCCCTGAGGAGCCAAAAATTTCTAGAATTAAACTTTTTTTCTTAACCTGATTTTTGGGTTTCTATGACTGTAAAAAAAAAATTGGTGAAGAAAAAATCATATGGTGGTGCACTTCTTTTTTTTTGCTACGGCCTTTTGAAAGTACCCAATTTTGATGATTTTCCCATTTTTCATCAATGTTTACCTATTTTTGGGCTATTTTCGTGAAAAAAAATCACAGTTTTACAATTAAACTTTTTTTCATACTTTCAATAAAGATGAAGTGGATCAATTTGAATAAATTTAACTTAAAAAATCTAAAGGTAGGTGTTGATATAAGAAAGTTTTATCATATTTTGATGCTTTTTTGTGTCAAATTTACCATGCTGTCAATTTTGTAAATTTGTGATTTTTCTCTGTTTAAAGAACAAAATGCATATTATTTCGACTTCTTTGTTTTAAATGATTGAAAAAATACATATCTAAGAAATTTGAAAAGAAAAAAAGTGATATGGGATGTACATGTTTTAGGTAAAATCATTTCTTGTACCCCTCACCCATTTTCTCAAAATTTTGGCTAAAAAGACTGACTTGATTGGTAATAAAATTTTAAAAAATTGAATACTCAAAAACTATAATAATTCATTGTAAATTCACAATTTTTTCACAGAGTTAAGTTTGATTATAACATTTTTTAAACTCATTGATATTTTCCACTCGTATCACATGTTTTGGAAATAATTCCAGAACGAGATTTCAACGAGACTGAAACGTCAGAAGAATACATCCTTAACTGTTTGGATATTTCAAAGAACCAACCCTACAAATTGACTTTTTTTCGGCTTTCAATTTAACTTTTCATCAATTTTGTGGATTGAAAACTGTTACCAAAAAGAAAGAATATAGCCAAATAATCAGATGCATAGGGATAAGAATCTAGGTTTTTTTTTGTTATAGCCTCAACATGGAATTACATGACTTTGCCAACTTAATACAAGTTCTTTCGGTTATTATGAAATGGACATATATAATTTTAATTTAGATCGACAAAGTTGGGATGTGAGAATGGAATTTATAAAATACTTATGATCATTGAATAGCAAAGAAAAAAATTTGATAGCAAATAAAAGAACTACTGGCATAAAGATCTCCATGTTTTAAATTTTGTAAGGTCTTCCCATAATTTGAACGAAAGAGATAAAATATAAGTCATCTAATTAAACCATTGAAACGCTGATGCGTTAGTTTTATTTTACGTGTTTGTTAAAAGTTACTAAATCATAAACTCACTTTACTATGTTACGTTTAGGGGTGTGTCTTGTAGTGAACAGGCATATCTTAATACGGGACAGTTATGAATAAAAGGAGATGCAGGGGGTATACATCAATGAGACAGCAAGCAAACAACAAAACCCCAAACAGACATCTAGAAGACATGTTTTTGGTATTAACACTATGTGTCATGCCCTAAATAAGTTTTTCCTCAGTATGGTTAAAATGAAGATCTGTCGTAACTTGCTAACTCCTTTTTATAAACATAAGGTAACCAGAGATCTATAATATTTTAAGATGATTGGGTTTTCATTTTAGCAAATATTGTTCTTTTCTTTAAGATCATACAAGAAAGGGGAGAATATTATATACATACAATTTTCACTTTGTATATTGATTAATTGTGGCTTGCTTAACACCTAATTTGAAACATAATATTTTATAAAATATTTTTATTTGAAATTTCTTTCGTTCAAATGGATCAATTAATATAATATATTCTCAACAATGGCTACATAGTGAATGTGCTTTAATATTTAACTAATAGACATACAAAGGATGAGGAATTAGTTTATGTATAAACCCCTCCCCCTGTGATAGTTATTTAGAGTTTGATATATCGTCATGATATTTTGTTATTTTACAAAAAAGTATCAGGTTGAAGGCCGTAAGGTGACCTATAGTTGCTCACTTCTACACCATTTTGTCTCTAATGAAGTGTTGTTTGAATTCTACGGTTACATTTTATACTGATGTGCCGACTTTTTGTCTAAAGAAGAACAAAAAGTAAATTATGACTTAAATATCTATATTTTGGCCTACACGTTCATTTTTTTAGAAGTTCTAAAAATGTCATGACATTGAATTTTTGTCGATAATTTTTTTGTTTTTGTGTGGTCTAACATTTCAAAATTTGAAATGTTAACCTTGGTATATTTTAACAACAAAACTTATTGAGAACCAGTTTGTCGAATTAAAATATATATAGATAATTCAGATGATCTGTAACAATTCCATCTTCATGCCTTATATATTATGTACTGTGTTACGACGCTAGATTAAAACTGACGAGGAAAGATAACACTCGGCCACCGAAAGCTATATTATTGTAGAGCCTAGGTGGTCGATTGGTCTAGCGCGTCGGGCATAGTACAAGGCGATTTGGTGCCACGATATCTCAGTAGCATGAGTTCGAATCCCAGCGAGGGAAGAACAAAACATTTGCAAAAGCAAATTTACAGATCCAACATTGTTGGGTTAATGTTTAGACGAATTTTATATATATATATATATATATGTGTGTGTTAAGTCACAGTCTCTGTGGTGTTTAAGATTCTGAATTTAAGAATTTTCAAAAATATAGTAACATAACATAAGAAGACTGACATGAAAAAAGGTAAGGAGATGACAACTAGAGAACCACTTGCACATTTATATGAGACGTGAAGAGACTAATACATACGTAGCAAGTCCAGTTGACGGGGTCAGAAAGGTTGTTTTACACCTGTATATGATTTGGAATATCTTATTCTACCTGTACGAGTGTCTTAACAAAATGTTCCCCTTCGTTGCATAGAACATCATATTTTATTAAATTAAGTCTCACTATACTTAGTGTGAGGTAAGATGTACTTTTAATACATGAATATCTAATATTTTGTCCCGTGAGTTCGGATGTACTTTTGATAAATGAGTATCTAATATTTTGTCCAATATCTGCTCGTATTCTCAACAAACGAGAGAACATCATAGCAGATATTTGTTTCCTCTTTATGAGTATTTATGTCGTGTTTTTCTTTGACCGT